ATAGAGATTTAAATAATCAATTGTGATCTTATCCTTTATAGCGTAGACAATATCTCCAACTTTTAGTTGTTTGGTTTCTCTTCCTTCTAATTATTGTGCTTGAAGATGGGTTGGGGTCGGGTGGGGTGGGGTCGAATGGGGTGGGGTGCGAGAAACGCAGGCACACATTTCTCCCCTCCATATGAGACACGCCGTAATGTAATACAAAATAATAATTTCCATTTCCTGAAAGATGTTGTTAAGTGCAAGTGGGAAGAATGTTTCATGCAAGGAGTGGGTGTCCCATTTAAAACCAAAATAAATGTTGACCTATCCTAAATGGACGTACATTTTGTACTTGCATTTTACTCGTCTTATGCAAAAGATCTATGATTATTTGAGTGATACAATGAAAGATTTGAACAGATGGAGTATAATGTACTCTCTTAAGCAATTGCCATGCTGATGTCACCAGAGATTTGAATAGATTGAGTATAATGTACTCACTCAAGAAATTATTCAAGTGACGTCACGAGATATTTGAACAGATTGAGCATAATGTACCCACTACTTATTCTGTTAATGTCACCATATATTTGACAGATGGAGTATAATGACCTGACTTAATTATTCTAGTCATGCACGAGAGAGGAAAAAAAATAACTGAGTAGAATGCAATCATTTCAAGCAAAACATCCATTTCTCTAGTGATATTACTCAACACTTGGACAAATGTTGTGTATTTTGGTCTTCCGAACAAATGACCATGTCCTAGCAGATACATAGTCCTCTTCACGTACGATAGCGGATGAAGTACATGTTGGCATGACAACCCTGTTTTCTCGACCTGGCTTCGGTTGCAATGAGTACAACATCGCTGGTGGTGTGTTCAGACCAATAACGTAATACTACTACTGACTAGGCCGGTCAACGACTGAAGTGCTATAGGTTCCTGGTCAAAGCACACTTCAGAGGTAGATCCAGGAATATCATTTGGGGGCAGGGGGATGAAAATGTATGCAGGTGGTCTCTGCAACAGTCTGCGTAAACTCAATGGAGTTTTCCCCGGGATGTAATTTTTGCGTCGTTGCCACTGTCATGGACAAATCTAGGTGCCAATACCGTAGTTGTCGGTTGTAGTTAATTCTATTCATTTGCAGTTCCTGGTGCATATATCAGTAAGTAAAATTCGACAAATTGTTCATAGAGATTACCTTTGAAGGGAGATTATCTTTAAAATGCCTTCTTTCAATTAAACAAGGATTTGGTGATGACCTTTAATGATAAATAATTACAAATTTTACCAATACTTTGTATCAAGCCTTTAGATGAGATAAAATCGTACCATGTGACACAGTACACAAGAAGATTATAGCACGAAAAAGAACTAACAATGTAATAATACGCAATTTTTGTGCTTTGGCAGTTGTTTTAGTAAACGCTTAAAATATAGTTCTAGCATTTTTGGCGAAATTCGTTATTTTTTTTATATAGTTATTTGATTAAATAAGAATTAAGCTTCATACTTTACACTAAGTATGACATAACGAGGCCAGAAAATTTATATACAGTATGAATGGTTAAGGATTAAGCAATGAAATTCAAATCTTAAATATATTGTGGGGTATTTTTTTAATAAAAGGAGCATATATTTTAACATTATGAAAATTTAAACAATAGCTACTCAGGGGGTACGCTGAATGATCCCAGTTGCTGTGAATCGGTCAAAACAAAGTAGTATGGCGTCAGGAATTTAAATATATTTATATATCACGTTACTTCAGTAATTGCTTATTATTAGTGTCGTACAGTATAGTATTCATTGATTAGTAAGTAGTTCAAACGGCATGATCTTTAGGTATCTTTGATTACTGTATATACTCACCGGTAACTTTGGTTCAACTGGAAATGATTACACCCTGATCTGCCTTGGCATAAATCAAGGTCCATGATATTTGTTCTACTTTACAATCGTTACAAAGTGCACGAACCCAGAACTGATTGCGCCTTATCCGAAGGTAGATCGGGAACTATAAAATTTGCAGTTGAAATGAACTTGTATGAAGGTACATACGGTATATCAGGGAATGCCTAGGTGCATAATTGATCGATCAGCAGGGCATACCTTTTAACTTAAAAAACGATTGATTGTAATACTTGAATGTGTCTGGAAACTTTGACACTGTATCAATAGATGTTTACAAGACTTAATCCAATACATGATATTTAGTACATCTTCAATGGCTGACAGCACCTCACAATGGTCATGTTAAATAGTAGGGTTTAGATAAATAAAAAAAAAAGTTTAATCCATTTAATGCTGAGTGTATGCTTGGTGACAGAACGGGTTAGTTTTCTTTTGATGAACAACCATAGCAGAATGAGCCTTTAGTCAGTTAATAAAAAACCTATAACTTAATACTATTATCTCCATATTAGAACTTCGGTGGCCTAAGTGGTTGTAGTACCCACCTCGAATGCGGAAGGTCACAGGTTCAAACCCCAGTCGAGTCATACCAGAGAATTATTGAAAACAAATGGCAAGCTTGGCGCTCAGCATTTAGTAGTTAGTGTTAGGACTGGTAGGCATGGTGTCAGG